TTTCAGAGTGTCTCCACCTCTATGTAACCACTCCCCCTTATTTTGGCTGAGGTCAGACTTTGGACAAAGCAGACTACAGCAATGCAAAAGCAATAAAGAACTCTGCTTAAAAAGATACACCTGAGTCTCCTGGTCTTCGTTTCTGAGTTTCCAACACTTTAGAAAATAAGTTCACAGCACTACAATAGAGATTTTTCGCTAGAAATTACATCATAAGTGGCGAATATTGATTGAAAATGTTCATTTACATACAAACTGATGACCAGCAACAACTTTCAGATGCTATCTAGCTCAACTGTCACAGAATGGAAAGCACAGGATTGTGGAATATCAAAGGCAGCAAATGATTCATCTATGCTGCCTTCAAAAATAGATCAGATGAAGGTATCTCAGGAGACAGGAAGTGAAACTAACATTGCATTCGGACATGTCTTGATACAGTACCTTCCTACCTTGGACTGCATCCTCCAAAGGCAGTATCAGTTTTCACAGACAAAAGACTGAACCCAAAACAGTGATATATACATACACTGTGACTAAACTAGATAATTAACAAGACAGAGATGGGGAAATCAAAAACCATGGCTACAAAATAGCATGAACAAAGGTAACTTAACCGAGAAACGAAAGCCAACTGAAATCGGAAAACTTTGTTTGGCCATTTATGTACATTTCAATGGTGTTTTAAGGGCCTGAAAAAGCAAGCTTTTGAAAATGGGTTTCAAAGTTCAGGGTTTTGAAAACGATGCCCTTACCGTCTCCACCCACGTAAACAACAAAAACGCATTAAATTTTCACACATGCATTATGTGCTCAAAAATTGACAAAGTGACATAGCCAATTAAATGTCCTGGTATTCATAATACAGCCCTTTTTTTGTCATTTTCGCAGATCCGTGTGAACGGGGATCGCTTTGACAACGTTGGCTTTTGATTTTATTACTTTGTTGTCGTGCATAGTCTTAAACTCAAAGTCCAACTCAAGCAAAACACAAAACACAGATCAGATGTGGCAGCTAATTAATGTTTTAATTTTTGCTTTCAGTGGTGAGCAATGTCCCTGATGTGTCCATAGGAATGTACAGCATGAGTGGTAAGCAAGTGTTTGTCTTGTGATTGCTTGGCAAATATGTTTTTTTTTTTTAAATTTGTATAAATAAACCATGGCAGTACCATGGTTAGAGGAATGGTATCAGTGGTATTTGAAATATACTATGATATTCATAATAACATTTACATGCTCCTCTTAAGAATACCATGATATTACCATTGGCATAAGCCAAATTAATATAGGGTAATACCATAGTAAACAAAGTAGGCCAATGCATACTTCATAGAGCTTCGCTATTGAAAAGCTATTCATAAAATAGAAGCAATCAAACCAACAACAGGGCGAAAATGTGCAAGTGCCGTGACCAGTCCGTTAGTCCAGCGGTACACGCAGCAAGGTTGTTGTTTTATATATATATACTGTATATATATATATATATATATAATTTATAAGCTACTTGTTTAGTTATTAAAGGTTGATGTATTTCTGTTTCTCTCATACAGACGATGATGTATTTTTAGAGATCTCTTCAACTGAAAACAGAACAGAAGGTAAACAAACATCCTGTTCCATCATACTGCACACTTTTTACCCAGAAGAGATTTGTGCTTTATCAAAATGCTGTTAAGTAACCTTGTATGTTTTTACCAGCACTGATTAGCTCCAAACCAACCTAACTCTCAATCTATACTTTCACAGAAAACCTGCTCAGGTTAGCTGACCTTATGTACAAGAAAAGTAAGTGTTTGTTTAGATATTTCTTTTTACAGAGAGAGGCATAAGTTTTGTCCCAAATGACGCACTATATGCACCTCCATGTAGAGTATGAATGTTATACAGTTATGTCACTCAACATCTGTATCTGATAGTCCCTCCCCCTCAGGAGGACATTGAGTGCATGAAGTGTCCAGGATTCCACACTTTGTTTTTCGGTTAATAAAGGGCATAATCTGGGAATTTAAAGTGCACTTGTTCAGTCTGAATACACTTACACTGTTTAAACTACAAAATGGCCCAGAATAGTGGACAAGCAATTTAAGGGACACTAATAAGGAAAATTCTGTCATCATTTACTCCCCTCGAGTTGTTTAAAACCTGTATGACTAAGATAACATATTTGTCTATGGAACATTTTGAGAATGTTCACGTTGCTCATTACTATATAGTGGATGGGGAGCAGAAAACGCCAAGTTCCAAAAAGGAGATAAAAGCACCATATGTGACTCTTCCAAATCTTCTGAAGCCATATGATAGCTTTTATTATTTTGTGAGCCGTGGTCACCATCTACTTTTATTGCATTCTTCTATATGTACAATTTTGGATGGGTTATTCCTTAAAACCTACTGTAAGGCCCACATCAATCAGTGTGTGTGGATGGCAACCACATCCTATATATATATATATATATATATATATATATATATGAGGAGGTTGTATACTGTATTGAGGAACTGGTCTCCTGTGTATTCCTTTAATGGTAGGCTATGGCTATGTCTGTTTAATTATTTACAATGGTCTCTCATGTTCTAGGATTGTCACCAATCTTTGAGATTACAGGTATGAATGAGACATTTAACACATTTACATATTCTTTCAAGAAACACAGTAGCACTGAATAGCATTAAATAGACCTATAGACCATTTTAAGATGTAAACAACACTGGTCCAGAAACACTTCCTGTTTCAGTTTGTAACTGTTTTCTTTATTTCACATGTAAAGAAAACATCTTAAAGATGTTTGTTTAACTTTCTGATTCAGTTTTATATGTTCTGTTGGTTGTATTTTATCCCAGCTTTTATGTAGTGTTAAAAAACTGAAACAGGAAGTGCTTCTGGACCAGTGTTGTTTACATCTTGCAAAATGGTCTATAGAATACGCACATGACATAAATAACATACCTGAAACAACAGCTTGATTCTTCATATTGTTACAAACTTATCACTCAGCAATATATTTACAATTGTGTACATCCAAACTTATCCACATACATATAGTCACACAAAGTCATATGTACTGTATAGAAAATCTCAATGCTTCATTGTTTGCAAAATATAAAACATACTGTATTACTGCCCAGCTCAGCTAAATGCAACTAAGTCATGAAAACAATAAAGGGGTCGTATTATGCTTTCTTACATTTTGTTGACGTTTGAGCATGATAGAGATCTGCAAACTTAAAATGCACAAAATTCCACTCTAAAGGGAGTTATTCCCGATATCAGTTAGCAAGCACTGTTTCTGAACTCCCTGAAACGCCTCGACTCGTTTTCTTCTGGGAACATACACATCACTATATCCCTTTAAATAATTAATGTGCAAAAAAGGGACAAGGCCTGGATGAGTTACATCGAAAGCTTAAAAATGCTGCCTTTGGGGGATGCATTTCAAGGTGGGAAGGCATCGGGCCATGTCCGAATCCAATGTTAGCCTCACTTCCTGTCTCTTGAGATACATTCATGTGATACATTTTTGAAGGCAGCATAGATGCATCCTTCGCTGCCTTTGATATACCACACCCCTGTACCCGTCAGTTTGTGTGTAAATGTCTGTTTTTGACCAATGCTTTCCACTTTTGATGTCATAGTACTAAATATTTGCTTAGTTATCACCAAAGCTTGCTCTACAGTGTTGTAGATCATTAAAGCCTTACGCTGCCTCAGAAGCCTGTCCGAAACTGTTTTGTGAGGTTCCTTAGTGCACAAATAATGCCTGCAGTCATTGCCTGATAGGGCAGCAAGGTAACAAGTCAGCTGCCTAAAGCTTCAATACAGTGTGTTTTGTGGTTATGACAAGGGTTGACATTTCCGAAACACGCCCGTATCAAAGCACGCTGCGTTTTTCGAAAAGGAGGGGCTTCATATAGACCAGAACTAAACAAGCATGTTATAGACAGACAAGGAAGAAAGGGGCTGCAATCATGTAAAATATATGAAAAATAATGAGTTTTGAAAAATCAAGCATGAAAACCGAAAGACTTTTAAAAAAGCATAAAAGGACCCCTTTAAGATATTATTAACATTAACATGATTTTCAGTAAAGCTACTTTGATTGAAACAATGTATATTGTGAAAGACCTTTTTATTTTATTGTTTAAATAAAACTGACTTCAAAATTGACTTGATTCCAGATGAAAATGAGGACGAGGAGCAATGTAATGCCCCAGAAACAAAGGAAGGTAAATATAAATGGATGAGGAAGAGTCTAGCTTGTCTCTGTATAATAGTGATCATTTATAGTTGAGATAAAAAATGGCTCAAAAGTCCAAACCCTCAAGCATTTCGTGTGTTTGGAATATTAAACAGCATTTGTATGCTTTAAATCCAGTCTAAGTGGAGACTTTACAAAGCAGATTAATACTTCAAAAAGATGTCCACATTAATTTACTCATCCATCAGCTGATGTAAAACAGTCTGATGTCTGATGATGATATACTCTCTTGTCACTACTAGTTCCAGTAAAGCCTGAAACAGTGTTTGAATCTTTTTTTTTACACTCTTTGAATCTTGCATAATGTCTCATCCGGTCACAGTGATGATGACACAAGCTAATGATCGGTAGATCTTTGATGCCAGTATGTTGCTTGGGGCAAAATAAATTGCACTACAGATGGACTCCTGGCAAGACTAATGTTGTCATGCATACAATTCTACAAGACACATTTTTAATAAATATTGTTACTCTTACAGAGTTTAAAAAATCAGATCAGCTTCAACATCTAGCAGCACAAGGCAACTGTGAACCATCAAGTAAGTGATGTTTCCAGCCTCTCATTCTTCATTAACCATCAAAAAACAGAATTATTAATTTGATATATCTCTCATTTTACACCTTATCCATTCTCTTTTTCCATCTCCAGCTTACCTGCATCATCGAAATAACTTTACTTGTTCCGGTCAGTAAGAAAACGGGGATTCTTTAAACCTTTAAATCAACGAGAAACAGCAGAGGCACTTTTTAAAATTGAAAGTTTATTTAAACTAATGAACAACATGTGACGTATTGAGAACTGGACTTTTTCACATGCTAACAATGCAAAACATTACTGTACTGATAATTTCAGTCTTTAGTTTCATATTACAGATTATGTTCTTGGAAATTTTATTCAAAATAAAAACTGGTAATTGTGTAACTGTTCATTATTTTAAGCGAGTCGGTTGGACCTCCAAATCTTCTCAGACAATGCAACACATGATTAATAATCTTCATTTTTAGTAAAGTAACTTAAAAAAGAACAAACACATATATAAAGTGGACCAGCAGCTTGCTAAATAAGTTAGGAGTTTCAATCTTATTTTATTAATTATGTCTTTGTAAGAGTCTATATATAGACTATAATTGCACTTTTTTTGGTTTAAGCTCTCAAATTGAAGCAACATACCTAAACAATACACACGCACAGAATGAGGGCACTATTCTTTGGATGCTGGTTCAGGGACTGGCTTGATTGTGGTTCTGCTGGTCTGAATGTGTGAGACCTGAAGAACAGGCAACAGCAGCTGGAATGCATTATGGATGTAAGTAGTGCTATTACAACCCTGGGGAAACAAGACACAGTGCAGTGATGAAGGGTCGTCATTATCATAACTATAGTCATTCTAATCATCATCATCAAAACCCCTATAGCCGTCTCCTCGTTTGTTAGCTGTGCATTATGAAAATGATCATATTCAGTTTTACCTCCAGCATCACACTGTCCACTAGAGGATTTAGCTCTTCTGCCTTTCTCTGATTCTATAGGGACAAAAATAAAGATACAAAAACAGGATGTTCATTTTAAACTTCAGGAGAAATAAATAGTTGTATTTAACAATAACACTGACATGCACAACATATGCAACCTGTTTTACTTCCATAATGTGACACATTTCAAAGTGATATAGTGGCCCACAGTGCAACACCACAAAATCACTGGGAAATGAAGACTATTCTTACTAGCATTAAATAACAAAAGATTCTCAAAATGAGTAAAACAAACGTGTTAAAATGTAAGTTTATGTGCTGGAAACACATGCAGATACTACAGTCTAATTTTGAGGAGCAACTGCTTCTACTGTGTTGTGACAATTCAGTTGCTTTGCTACAAAATGTAGTTTGCTCTGTAAATTTAGCTGTGCTGTGCCACAGTAGAAACAGCTTTTTCAGTAAGAAAAAAAGCTGGGACATTACTTAATCTGAAAGGAACTGATTGGATCATGAAATATCTGTATGACAAGTGATTGGAAAGGAGGGGCTGAAAAATAAGAGGGAATCAACTTGAAGCAAACCGAACCGAAGTCAAACTAAAAAGGGAATAATTTTAGAGATGGAGGTATTAGTTGTATTTGAACGTTTTTAGCAATATCATCCACTGATAAATAGTTCAAAATAAGACCAGGAACATGCGTTAGGGTCGGTCAGACTCACCCCTACAGCCAGTAATGTGTCCGAGAACTTTCGAGCCAGGCACCCGACCTCCTTACACATGGCACTGGTTAACCTGGGCATACACAACAGTCACTATACAACTAATAAAAGGACTTGTCCAATACTGTCTGTTGGAAACGGCTGAGGAACTCACCTGACCAGTATACTGGCCTGTTGGCAGGCTGGCTTCTCCAGCTCTTGTCCGTGTAAAATCAGCTCAGCCACTTTATGTAGCTGTTCTATACTACGAGCGGTCACCTCAGCAAGACTGCCCACTGATGACAGATACACCTTCTACATTCACAAACATACACATACAATAAAGGTTTATATATATATATTTTTTTAAGAAAGCAATACTTTTATTCGGCAAGGAAGCAATAATTTGATCAAAAGTGACAGTAAAGAAACCTACTGTTATAATTAATATTGATATTTTAATTAAATACTATTAAAAATTATATTCATCAAGAAATCCTGACAAGAAAAAAATAAATAAATAAATAACAAAAAAACAACAAGGTCTAGAGACTAGAAGTTAAACCTCTTTAAACTTGAGTCGTGAGAAAGTGGACATTGAGTTGGCAACACCGCTTATTCTAATATCACATATTTAATATGGATAGTATGCACATTGTGATGCAGTATAGGTCTTAAATCTCATTCTCTCCATGTAATCGAATGGGATGTAAGTCCAACTAAAACATATAATTACACTTCAAACATTTCTTTTCCAAAGATGGTTTCTGTCATTTAAGGTAGTCACACAGACATATGTTCAAGTGTTTGTTTCTCTAATAAGTCTGGTTTTAGTTATTTATTTGATGCTATAAAATGTGGTGTAACATTATGATTGACAGCTGTGCTTGTGATCAAGTCTGTGGGAGTGGGAGTTTGGAAGGGAAATTGATGGATCAGGATCACTTCTGGAATATTTTGGCTTAATTTTTCTGTAGTGCAAGGAAGTGGAAAAATGTCGTCCATCTTTTTTTACAGTCTATAAGTAAAACTATGGAAAAATAGAGCAGAACACATTCTGTGTGTACAGAGAATAAGAAACTTGTATATATATGCAATACTCAACGACACACTCAAAACATTTCTCACCTCAACATCATCCGAGTTTCCATCTTTTGTATTATTTTTATCGTTTTTTCCCTCTTCTCCCTTTTCTTTCTTTTCTTCTTCTTTTTGTTCCCCCTTTTGTTCGGGGCAAGGGGTGGAGCACTCTTCCTTTAATTCCTCTGTTACATTCTTGACAACTTTCTGGGATTGCTCCACTTCTCGCACCCAATCATGAGCTTTTATTCGGGCCTGCAGGGCACACGGTTAGATTAGTGTTTATGAATAACGTGTGTATGTGTGTGTGTGTGTGTGCGTGTATCTGTACTTTGCTCAGCTTGTCTGGAGTTGCAGCAACATGGAGCTCAAAGAGTAGCTCAGTAAGAACACTGACAAACTCCTCTCCATCAGCAGCTGAAACACACAGATCACACATATATATATATAATACCCATGGGCAAAAATGAGGAGGACTGAAATATTTATAGTGCTCTGACTGAGTCACCTGTCATATCAAATCAATGTCTGTTGAGATTGAGATTTGCAAATACTGGGTTTTCCAATACTTGTGGTTTGGTGATTTAAACCAGAATTATACATTATAACAATTTCACAGCCTTAAAGGAGTAGTTCACTTTAAAAAAAACAACTTTTGGTGATAATTTACTCACCCCCATGTGATCCAAGATATCCATGTCATTCTTTCTTCAGTCGAAAAGAAATTAAGGTTTTTGATGAAAACATTCCAGGATTTTTCTGACCTTAGAGAACCTAATTCATCGTCTGGTGTCGTTTAAAGCCCTTTGAAGCTGCACTGAAACTCTCATTTGGACCTTGAACCATTTGGTTCCCAATGAAGTCCATTATATGGAGAAAAATCCTGGAATGTTTTCATCAAAAACCTTCATTTCTTTTCGAATGAAGAAAGAATGACATAGATATCTTGGATGACATGGGGAAAGGTTTTTTTAAAGTGAACTACTCCTTTAATAATTATGCAGATTATATTCTAATCATTTTAACTCTAAATCTGTGATTGGATTTAAAATTTAAAAGTGTGAACTTGACCATTTAACCTTAATATCCATTCATGCAGAAATTGTAATAAAGATTTATCCCTCACAGGATCTTGATTTTGGTCTTGGATTTGCTCACATCAGATTGTGATCTGGATTTGTCTAATTATGTTTTGGCAATTTAAGACTCACAGAGAGGAGTGGAACACTGAATTTGGGAATTAAGATCACCGTTTTCCCCAGAGGCGGCATCAGCTTCCTCCTCCTCACGAGTGATGAAGATCTCTTTAATCGCAATCAGCTCCTTCTTCAGAACTTCCAAATCTTCCTCTTCCAAAGAGGACAAGAACTCCTGTACCTAAAATGGAGAGAAACAAAAAGGACCTTTTTTGAGTAATTTCAGCTTGTATTTTGTTAGCAACAGGTACTATGGGTGAATGTACAGTGTGTAGTGAGTGTTACTAACCCTTCCTTCACTCTCATTGGAAAGAATCTCCAGTGCCTCGAGATGAGACAAGCCTTGATAATCATCAAACAAGATCCCATAGTGGGCGGTTGGTTCTGAAACCATCTGACTGCTCAGTCTCTCTCTCTCCTTTTCCTTTGCTTCTTTTAGCATCTGCAGAAAAACACAACATAAGCACATACATCAGGCAAGTATCAGACAAACATACTGAAAATATGGCAGGATTTTCCCACAAAAAGTCAATAATGCAAGAATCTTCTAAGGTACAACGGTTGTAGGTCTTCATTCACAATTTATCATAACCTCTGTACTGTACCTTATTGTAAAGTAACATTGGGCTAGGGTTTTACATCATGTAAGAAAGATTTGAGCTTTTGTTGACCAACTTACCTGAGACAGAGAGACAGTTCTCTGCATCAGTATTTTAGTCTTTTTAAAGCCTGGATCACTCTCTGCCAAGACAATCATGGTCTTCTTTCCAATGAACTCCAAAGCATCAAGACCTCCTGTTATTACTGACTTTCCCTGCGAGAGGGAGAAAAAAATGGTGCAGGGGGACAAGAAAGATTAATTCATCTTGGGTGATTCAATTACAAGTCGTCTTAAATCTTAAATGCACCATCAAGTGTAGGATCTGTGATCATGGTAAGTCATGTTAAAACTAATGAAGTGTGTTATATCCTTGTGCTGACTCACAGTGTTCTGAACAGCGCTGCTGATGGTTGACAGTACTCCTCTGTGCACCTCCTCTGAATGAACGTGTTCTGCCTTATCTGTCCCAGAATGCTCATGGGCCTCTTCTGCCTCCTCACATGATGAGCTCTGACGCATTCGGAACGCCCCACCTGCTTTCCCTTTTACAGTGCTTAACCCTTGACCTAACGAATATTAAAACATTGAAGGCTATTATTAAACTTTAGGGCTGAATTAACTCTGCAAGGCTTGATGCACAGAACATATATTAACAAATAATCGGATTTATTGTCCTAAAGTTTACATTCACACTGTGTTTACTATAATACCTACTAAGACGCTTTAGGCTAAGATATATATATTTTTATAGTATTTTCTCTCACATTCGCATATAGCAGAAAATAACAGGGCACAGGACTCTTCCTTACATATGATTGGTTGATGTTAAAAAACACAACGGTCAAATACACACAGTTATGTCAAAATGCCTGTCGAAAAGTTTATTGAATATGCGAATATTCACATAAATACAGTCAGTTATGTCTTAGGTGAAAGTAAACAGTTGGGAAATGGATGCGTGTCAATAGGATCAGTGCTTTAGGTCTTAAAGCAATAGCAGCCTAAAAAAAGACTAAAAAACTTTTGTAGCTTTAAAATGAATTAATGTGTATTTAATTAATGTGAAAGCTATGCAGTGTTTTATTTTTACATTTGATTATTCAGGTCTAATGTATTGCATCTGTACTATTGTTTGCAATTTCCTTCTTTCCCAGATAGCAAACTGACATTGAATCAACGTGGAAACATGACATCGAAATAACGTTGATCTGACATTGTTTTGCTCATCGAATTAACGTTGAACCAACGTCAGACGCGTCATTCTTTCAAAACTAACGGAAAATCAACTTGAAATCAATGTTGTTTCAACGTTATGAAAGCAAACCAATTTTCGATTTTCATTTAGCTTGTCTGACGTTGGTTCAACGTTAATTCGATGAGCAAAACAATGCCAGATCAACGTTGTTTCGATGTCATGAGAGATGTCGTTTCCACATTGATTCAATGTCAGTTTGCTGTCTGGGTTTTACTTTTAATAACAGAGATAAAATAAAATAACAATAGAATAACTAATCGTCCACCCCTAGTGTCAGGTATTTTTGTTTACCTGGATGCTCTTGATGTGAGGTTTTCATGTTTATATAACTATATATTACCAAGCTGAGTTGTTGGTATTTAAATAGTTTTTGTTTGTTTGATTGATGATCAAATTTTAGGGAAAATAATAGATTGTGAAACATATATTGGTTATATCATTTTAGGTTTTTAAATATAACTTCAATTATATTTTACACAATTAAAGCATTATCGTATCGTGCAGCCCTTCTCATATGTATAATCTGCTATTGTGACTGTGTTATCTACCATTTAACTGTGGAAGGATCAACTGTAAGGTTAACTATGGCAATCTCACTGCAGTGACAGGTTGCTATGGTGACTTACCCACAGTGGATGTTGCAGTGGTCAGAAGTGACTTCCCCCAGGAGCCCCAACTACTCCAGCCTTTAGATTTAGACTCATCCAGGGGCTGATAATGCATCCACAACAGCCGAAGTCACAAAATACACACAAAAAAAATGTGTTATGGATTTGGTATCATATGGCACAAAATATTACTTAGACCAAACACAGCTCAACACTATTGAATGTACCTCTGCTTCTTCCTGTTTATTATCTGGGTCCAAGCTCACTGACTCCACACATTCAGTCACCTGACCCTCAGGGTTTTCATTTGATGGGTGTACCTGCTTCTCTTCAGTAGCTGTGGGTGTGCCAAGCACATCCGCTGCCACGTTAGTTGCATCAGGGATCGATATTCCTAATGAAAGTTGTGATAAAGATGGGACCTCATCTGTGTTGACTGCAGCTATGGGGCCAGTTTCATCAGAGGCAGTCGGGTGGAGGGAAGGGGGAGAATTTGCAGTGAGGTCTTCCATGGTCTCATCTTGCGACATGGTGCTCTGATTAAAACAGATCAACAAACAAAGTGTAATGAGAGGCCATGTAAGCAGCTAGCCATGATTACACAAACTAACTTTCGGCTCGATGCTGAGACAGCTCTGACTAAGGTTTGCACACACAAAAAAAAACTACTCTTAATAAGCAGTAGGATCTTTATTGAAGCAAAAGTCATAGTTAATAGTTAGTTAAAAATGAGATTTAGACCCTAGTCTAAAGTGTGACTATACTTTTTCTTTTTTATCTAATTAGTTTTGCGTCATGGTTAGGTCCTGAATTTGGATTTGGGTTTGGCAACTATTTTCATTTCTGAGTAAAAAGCAGTATACTATTGATGATATTATTATTACTATTATCATTATTATTGTGAAACCAATATGAATGTGTAGGTGTGTATGAAAAGAAAAGCATTCACACAAAACAGCATTCACACACAGTACTGTCCCTGAATGGTGCCGCACTGTCAAGCGCCTTTGTTTGATGATGTGGATTGCGGCGCCATCTAGCGGTTGTTTTTTACACGTACAAGCAACATTCAAACATTAGTTTGTAAATATACGTTCAGTAAATGAATAAGGAGCATTCAAACATTAGTTTGTACACGTTCATAAAACGAATGAGACTGTATATAAGGCAGATTATAAACTAGGGTTACAAGTTACAGTTTCTATACAAAAATATGCATGCAGTTTTATGATAACAGTTACCCCCAAGGCTCAATTTCTACTAGCTTAAATGAAACGTCTATGTTTGACCATAAATAATTTATTCGTTTCCCTATTATTTGCATTTTTATTGTCTCTTCTTTATGTATTGACAAAAATATTTTGAAATACTCTGCGAGCACTTCAAACTCGAACGCAGACGCCAATTTAACTTAAATATCATCCAAAAGAATAACAACAAACGCGACATATGGAAGTAGTCTATGGAGAAGACCATAACGCTAAAACGTAAGCTACAAAGATGCAAAATTAACATTTGTAGTACTATTTCTTCTGCATTAAAGTTAAATCATGGAGTCATCCCTTCTTACCAGTTCTGCTGACAGTCGCGCTCGCGCAACCCTTCCGCTCGAGCTCGCGCCACGTCGGCAGCGGGGTCGCGTGCAGCTGTGGCCGGTGACGTCACCTGAACTTTTGGCACTCTTGATAGGGAAATTGATAAGAGACAAACTATTAAATATTGCATAAACATTGTAGTAAAATGTTGTGTGGTAGGCTACTAACTCCTGTTTGGGACTGACAGTGAGGTATTCATCATCAGTTTGATCTCGGCTTTTAAGATGGCGATGCGTTTCAGCGTTGGTCTGGTGAATGGGAAAACTGGGAATATGAAGTAACGTTAATGAGATAACTGAATCATTCCAAAATTTGAAAAACACATTGTCCTATAACTAAGAAAATACACGAGTCACTGTAAATCTGTTTATAAATATAAAAAGCAATGAGTAAATTCCGTAAATTCGCTCTACCTTAAACTTTTGTGACCTCTCATATGACACATATTTTTCCGTCTGGCTCGTTGGTCTAGGGGTATGATTCTCGCTTAGGGTGCGAGAGGTCCCGGGTTCAAATCCCGGACGAGCCCTATCTTTTGACTTGCAACAGGTAAGGAAATTATAAACTACATATCACACGTTATAGTCTCTATACAAAAACATGTAGGCATGGAGTTTAATGATTCCTCCTAGGATGCATTTCTTCTGAAATCATGTTCAAAACATCAATAATTGATTTTAAATAGATTATTTCCAGCATGTTTTTGCGTATTACATTATTTATTACATTTATTCAATAATTTATGACTGTAAATATAAATATTTTGTAACAAAATATCTTCACTGTCACTTTTGATCAATTTAATGCAAGGTAGATGAATAAAAGTGTTAATTTCTCTCTTTTTTAATTGTACCACATGTTTGAATGGTATCATGGTTTCCACAAAAATATGAAGCAGCAACTGTTTTCGAGATAGATAATAATAATAAATGTTTCTTAAACAGCAAATCAGCATATTAGAATGATTTCTGAAGTATCATGTGACACTTAAGACTGGAGTGCTATAAATATAAACAGGAGAAAATGAATTAAATTTGACAATAGTCACACAGAAAATGGCTATTATAAATTGTAATGATTAAACAATATTACTGTTTTTGCTGCATTTTTTTGTTGAATAGACCTAAAAGCAGCCTTGGTGAGCAGAAGAGACTTCTTTCAAAAACATTAAATAATTGTAATCTTTCACCAAATATTGTCTGCCTTATTATTATTATTTATTTATTTTATTTTTATTTTTTGCATTGAATAAAATACATGAGAACTTAATGCACAAGTGTTTGTAGTTCACAAGCCAATCATAAAATCATAAAATATAGGGAAAAAATATTATAGATATTAGTGGTTATTGTTTAGTAGTATTGATATCTTACTAAATCAAAATCAAGAGTTGGCATAAAAAAATAAATAAAAAAAAACATCAATTAGACAAAGTTCAGATCAACGCTGCTATTAAACCTGACATTTCTGTCCCCCTCACTTCTGAAATGATGTCTACGCCCCTGAAATCAAACACAATGACAACACATTTATACAAAATATTCACCATAAAAAGTTTATTGAATGATACATATTTAAATCTACATAATAGAAAAAATGTGTCTGAACAATTTGTATTTAAATTCACAGTTTGATATAATGACACAGCATATTCCCCTAGAACTGTGAAAAAATAGAAGTAAATTAAAAAAGACAGAAGATTCACATCTTTATAAAAATGTATAATATTTGTTTTGGATTAAAAATATATCATAATCATGCTTTCTATAAATTGCCCATTCAGTCATATTATTGCTTTAAAAATATAGACTATATATATATATTAATATTTCCATTATCCTATCTGATTAGTTCATTTCAGTGAAGTGTATAATAAGGTTTATATTATATTAGAGAAACCGCTTTGCTTTTTCTCTGCAATTCTTTCTTTTGTCTCATTAAGGACTTTTTCATTTCTTATGTAAGTGCACCCTTGTTCTTTTCCTCCTTCGAAATGTCAAAAATGTCCTTCAGTTGATAAAAGAAATCCGAAAACTGGTCTATTACAAACTGTTTAACTACTATAAGAAAAGGAAACAAGAAGATGTAGCCCAAAGCTTCAAGCTATTCATAACCACCCATTTATTGAAATTTGCCATTTCAAATATGTTTATATAAAGTGCACTGTTTCTGCTTACACATTGCCCTTTAAACGTTTGTTCACGTAAAAATGATTCGCAAAACCTACAAACACTGCTCATCCCTGCATGTATCGATGACTGTCTCACGCGTCAAACATCTCTCACAAACAAAGTTTTAGCAGTAAGACAATGTCACCCATAACCTAGATGAACTCACTCTAATAAAAATAATGCCCTTTATTATTGAATGGTTCACATTTATCAAACTTCTCCACCTAAACACCCCTCAGTGAAATAAAGATTTTACCCTTTAGAGCCTCAGACACTGGATTTGATAAAACACAAGACGCAACAAAATATTTAGGATTATGTGAATATTCATGATTACAGAAATTATTCAAATATGAATAACGGTAAGATTAAGCAAACTGAAGCATTCTATAAGTCCTTGCAACTAATATGTACGTGTTGGAGGGTCAAGCGAGCCTATTCGCGTTTAAGTCACTATTTCGAACTCTCAAACATAATTACCTGTATTTTTAGAATCTATGTGGGATAAAATCATTACTATAATTTCATTACTAAATCGTAAATTGTGCGTGTTGCAAGAACTTACACAGTACATGGTACTTACGGTAATAAACTACAGTATTAATACATGATTACAATTAATAAAACATGTAACTGTTTTACTAGGTTAGTATAGGTCAGTTGCTTTAAGCTACTTTTGGGACCAAAAACTATTTCTTTGTCAAAACTTAATTCTTAAGAGTCAATGCATAATGACTGACAGACCCAATCAAATGGTCAATCGGCTTTGGTCCTTACACTAAAACATAAAAAAACACGTTGAATACATATACAGGATCTGCATATACACAATTATTTACCAAGTAATATTTAAAACAAAACAAAAAAAGAGAGAAAAATTCACATTGTGCAGGTTTGACCCGAGTTGCAACCTAAAACAACATTAAGTGTGACGGTGTGAAACTATCTGAGTTGTGTGTGTGTGACTGGCTACTGACATACAGCATGTGCATTTGCTTGTTTGTGCTGTAACTGGCACAATGGGCCCTCTGACCTGCAGAGGGCAAAACAAAACGAGAAAGAGATGTGTATAGAGAGATAAGGAAGAGAGAGAGTGCTTGGTATCAAGAAAAAGACATAAAGGTGCCTACTGCCTTGCATTTAAAAGCCATTTGATTTTGTATAGATAAGGGTCATATCCACAGCACTATCAGCATTTCTTCATATCCATAGTAATGCTGACAAAATCCACTTTGACAATAATAATGTAGTAAGAGCTAGCATGGTGAAATCCATCAGTTCCACTCTTTCCACCCATACGCATCGTTTCCTGGACAGGGAGTAGCCGGGATACACAAAACGTCCCTTAACATCACTGGAGTGTTGCAGTACTGAGGTTACACCAGCAGATGACGCTTCTTGTGCAGAGCGAGGTGATCGGAGCGAGAGAAGGTGCGATCACAGTCAGGGCACTGGAAAGGCTTTACTCCCGTGTGCTTCCGAAAGTGACGGGTCAGCTCATCAGAGCGAGCGAACTTCCACGTACAGCCTTCCCACATACACTTATAGGGCTTCTCTCCTAAACGGTCACACAAACAGATGGGAAAGAGCATTTATTATTATATAGCCTAGCATAATATTATTATTATTATTATTATCAAACAAACCAAATGTGGGACAATTATAAGTTTGTGTGGGACAATGCGGGACATGTTACCAACACTAAAACATACCCTGAAACTGTTATATAATTTCTATCTAACTTGATAAAAACATTTATATTCTGCTTTTCAGCTGATAAAAAATGATTTGTTCTTTAGTCCCCTCCAGAAAAAAAATCTTTATTTTACATGTCATTTAAATTCAACATCACTGAGCCCAAAGGCAGCAGTAATCATGTATATAAATATTTTCGAAACAGTTCTGACCAAGTCCAACAAAAATCCAACAAAATAAACAATGAACAAATAACGCTTCCTTTTACAGTCCAGTTACCCATGTAAATACTATGTACTTATTTTAGTAACTACAATTACTGGGTAATAACTAGTACTAACCCTGAACCTACCCCTGTTCTATGTACTTATATTAGCCAGTACTTTCTAGGTAAGTACACTGTAAGTACTGTACTGTAAAAGGAAGTGTTACCTAAATAAAATATAAAACATGAAATTAGGTAGACAGTCTTATATAGCTATTAAGAATATATTAAAAACCAAAACCAAAAACTTTCTTATTTTTATAAAGGATGTGAATTAAAACAACCACAGTAGGTTAAACGACAACAGATAAATTCCGTTAAATTAAAATTTTAATTTACCGAATTATCCATTTGGTTGCCGACAGGGAACGTATGAAACGAATCACCGGTCCACATTTTGATTGACAGCCGTCACAACCTACGAGTGACCGTCTTTACCCCTTTCTTTTCAACCATTGGATAGTAGGCCTATAAAACGCAGCTGTTGTATTTGTACGTTACTTAAGACGAAGCGCTGAAAACTCAACTACGCAGCAAAAGTAATGAGTAAAATGCTTTCTTAAAAAGGCAAAAGAACGCATTCACGTTTTCTTAATATGATAATTAAAAACTAGACTGATGAAAATGCGGGACTTTTCCTCAATTATGCGACGTGCGGGAAGGGGTGAAAATGCTGTGCAGTACAACGCAAAGCGTGACGGGTGGTCACAAAAAGGGAAACATTTTCCACAAAAAGATTCTAAAAATGTGAAGTTTTAACCATTAAGTCTAAATAAGTATTTTTGCACCTTGAATAGATGAGTGTAATACATAATAATAAAAAATGTTTCATTCAAGCATTGGATGGATGTTCATATATATTTACCTGTATGTGTGCGTCTATGAGCTTTCAGGTGGGAGCTTTTGGTATAAACTTTATTGCAGCCGTTGAAGTCACAGCGATGAATGCGACGCTTCTTCGATGGATCTGGAGATTCTACCTTTCGACGTACAATCACGGAGTGTGTGTTTCCCCTGTAAAAAAGACAAAAATATATATATATTAATGGTCTTTGTTTGGAGTGCAGCTCTTTCTTTAACCACCAGGGGTCCGAGCCATAACATTCAGTCGACCTCAAAGCATTGAGTATTGTATGTATTGATGACCTTAGCTCTACATTAGATTTAGTTTAATTACAGTATATGATTTTTGGTGTTGTTATGTGCTTCCTTTGTGAATTGTATTAGTAGCGGATTGCTTGCTGAAGCAAGACTCATTGCAACTGCTCACAATTTGTCCTTATCCACAAGGCACTTAAGCACGTAACTCGTTCTGCACCGTTTGTGCTATAGACATGTTGTGCAACTTGTTAAGGAAAGGCTGTGACTGGACTTACAATTTCCGACTGGAAGACAATAAACCAGTTGAAAACATTTCCATGCATTTACTGAACAGAAATACCTCTACTGTAGGTTCTGCCTAAATACGCCCTGTAATTAAATACATCCTGCTTCTCTCTCGTCTCTCCATACACCTTACCCTCCCTGTCGGGTTGAGCTACATCGTCTACAGCATGCCATTTAATCTCCCACGTACTGACATTTGTTTCTAAAATTAGTTGTTTTTTGGCTCTGTACTCAATATAAAATCAAATGATCACTCCACCTTACTCCTCCCTTCCTCTCTCCATCAAGTGCTCTCTCCACCCTTCCCTGTAAACATTGCTCCATTTTCTTTATTTCACCACTTATTTTTCTTTCAGTCACACAGTATGTGTCCATAACTGATGATAACACCACACCCATTAGAAGACATCCCACATACACATACACCGTAAAAGTGCACTAATACACACAAAATAATAATGAAAAAAACAACTCTAAAGCATGCAGTTGTACACGTTCGCGTACAGATACGTTCCCACCCCATGAGGGTTTGGAGAACACTTGGAGACACACTGTCTGAAGTACATGCTGGGGATTTTTTTTCAGACCCAAGGAATATGAGATATAGAAACGCACATACTTTCAGGATTGAAAGAGAATTGTAGGCCACGCCCACTATAAATGAGATCTTTTTAAAGGTCATGCAGTTTTTTCCTTTAAATTCAGAGAAGAAATGTTTATACTTCTATTGTAAAGATAGATGGATAGTCAGTACTCACTCATTATAACTTGATGAGACAGAAATGACTGATGAGGTTATTTCCTGGCTGCGGGTTTCCTGATCGGGATCAGAATGAGGCTCAGATTTGATTGGCTTGAGCTCATGTTTGTTTGGGGGATTCTCTGACTTCATCATATGGACTGAGGACAAGACACAAGAGATAAATCAATCAAACACACACAAAAATATGTAAGGCTATATTAATACAACTGTCACTAGAGCCCGACCGATAAAGGATTTTGAAGGCAGATACCGATACAAATATTTGTTGGTTTTAAAATCCGATATATCGGCCGATATTATTATTATTTTTTTTATTTCAGAAACGAGCAACAAAATATTATCAGATTTCCCTAACATTAGTTATTTGTAGTTAATTATGAGTTTTAACTAAAATAATATGATAATGCATAAATGGTTCTCTCTGCCTGACTCTGGCTGGATCAGCAGGTTGCAGGATGTGTGGCGCGTTATACACGAGTGTTGCCAACAGGAACGGTGTAGAGTGCCCTCTGGTGGACAAACTATACAACTCCAACACTCATGACATGGTTGAAGCGTGATTCGCCCGTTTTTATTTTATTTTTGAAATATTCATTTATCGGCCATTATAACTGCCGATACCGATATTTTAGAAAATGCCTAATATCGGCCGATAATATCGGCCTGCCGATATATCGGTCTGGCTCTAACTGTCACCCATTAAAACTCATGTATGTTTGCTTAAGAATCAAATGTGATTATGCCTGTGTGTGATACTGTGATCATCCCCTTACACTGTTTGTGGTGAGCAGGATCATCAGGTGGGATGGGTGACATCATGGGGGGAGGCATGTGTAGGGAGGGGTAGAGCACAGATAATGACTGCAGCATTGGAATTACCGATACTGGAATTAAGCCTGGACTCGAAACAATTGGTGTCAAGACCTGCGTCACATGTAAACCAGAAAAAACAAATGGATAAATATATGACATAAGAATTGTCTGTTAACCTCTAAGTTTTAGACAAGAAGCATCAAAGACTATTTCATAGTTGATGATATGCCTTCGTTAATTGTTAATACATGGGTCAGTGCATTAAAGGGGTGCTCTTATGCATTAAACTGTTGAAAATGATCGGTTTTGACAAAAATAGTAAGCAGCACAACTGTTTTCAACATTAAAATTAATAAGAAATATTTCTTAAGCACCAAATCACTTATTATAATGATTTCTGAAGGAACATGTGACACTGATGATGCTGAAAATTCAGCTTTGCCATCAGGAATGAATTACATTTTAAAATATATAAAATAAATATATATTTTTTTATAAAAAGCTATTTTTATCTTTGTTTTTTATAAAATATATATAAAAAAACATTATTAATTAATTGTTCAGCCTCGGTGAGAATAAGAGACAAAACATTAAAAAAAATCATAGGACCCCAATTTTTTTATTTTTAAATCACAAATTAAGAACATGCTTAGATGTATTTTCAAGTAAATGTATTCATGAATTGTATTTTTTTAGGGCTGTCAAATGATTAATCGCGATTAATCGTATCCAAAATAAAAGTTTGTGTTTACATAATATAGTATGTGGGCACACTGTGTATAATTATTTTATATATATAAATACACACTCATGCTTGTATATATTTAAGAAATATTTTCATGTATATACATATACACATTTTATATATAAATAATATTTTTTTTCTTAAATATACATGCATGTGTGTGTATTTATATATATATACAAAATAATTATACACAGTACGCCCACATATATTATGTAAACACAAACTTTTATTTTGGATGCGATTAATCGCGGTTAATCTTTTGACAGCCCTAATTTTTTTATGTTTTTTCTTAAACGAACGTCATATCATGTGAACTAGCTAATAAAATTAGACATTTATAGATTATTTTCATGTATGGTAATATGTTTTTTTACACATGTTGTATTATCATGTAAATACCATGGTATGTGAATACGGTTTTCATTCAGCACCATGGCACCAATGGTAAAGCATCACCCTTATTCTTACCGCAGGTATGGAAATGGCCAGTGGTGGGGACAGCTGCCTTGTTTGAGATGACCCGCAAGTGCTTCCTGTTACAGAGCCGGAGCTGAGGAGAGGATGTGAGACTGGACTGGCGCGCTCATAATGGGATGGAGGAGTGGCTCTAGGTGATGACGATGCCAGAGATGAGGAAGGCGACGAAACGGAGGATGCTTTGCTGACGGTTAAGTCGACAGGTTCATTCTGGGAGTGATGGACATCGTGGGACTGAGAGTGTGTGTGAGGGGGGCTCCCGTAGGTGTAGTGCTGATAGCTGGGGTAATGGAAGTGATGATGGTACATCTGGGCTGGTGGTGATGATATAACTCCAAATGCCTCAGATGGTGGTTTTATCTGGTATAATGACTGCTAGAGAAAGAGAAAGAAGGACACGCTGTAAACTTGCGAGCATATTTACACATTCACATGTACATAATTACACAAGCATTCATAAAAAGCAGCTGTGCTGAGTAGCAGTTGAGTCTGGGGACTATAAACTGACCAAAAAGACTAACTTTGAATGACTGAGTTTGAGCCAAATTCAACATCCCACCCCATATAAACTCCTAACCTAATAAGAAAGGAATGCATATCCAACTGCAGTTAGAGAAAAAGAGAGAAAATGAGAAAGCAAGCAAGTACGAGATGAGTTTTAGAGATACATTTTGAAAAATATACTCATGCAATTCAACAATATCCTTATTAGTCTCTATAAATGAGTCTCGTGCTATTAGATTGCATGGGGATTCTGCACAAACACTCCAATGTCCCAAGACCAGGGTGTTCAGATGGCCATGTGCCAGGGAGCCCATTGTACGTTAGTTGGTAAGGCAGGTTTGTTATTGGAAACGGAAAGTGAAGCATTGTTTTCTTTAAGATAAAGTAAACCGGACGCAAAGAACTAGACAAGCATCAGGAAGTGAAGAAATGTTTTAGATCAGTAAAAAAAAAAACTTCTTTTGGCTAATACACTAAAAAAAATTTTTTTTTTTGTCATTCAGAAATAAGTACGGTAACACTTTACAAAACGGTTGCACTAATGTGCATTAATTCATGCTTAACTAATGCACAGATAGTCATGAGTTAATGTATAACTCATGAAGAACTAAACCATTAATTCATAATTACTGCATCAGCAACTAATAAAGAGTCTATATGATTAATAGATTAAGTAATACATGAATTGCTATTAATTCAATGTGTCATTGTGTATTAATTCCTTAATAACATATTTTATTAACTAATAGTGTAAATTAACGTGTTAACCACAATTAGTCAAAGCTATGCACTTCAACTTCCAGTTGTCTGCTTTAATTAATCATTAGCTAATGATTTGCAAAGGTATTGCTATGTTATGACTTTACTTGTTGGGGCACATCATTATTAACTAGTAATTTAGTAATTGTAGTAATTTGCACATGAATTTGCACTAACAATGAAGTAATTAATCATGTATTAATGCATATTAGTCTACCTGTCATATTATCTGGAAGTTGAAATACAAGGCTTTGGCTCATTCTGGTAATTAACATATTAATTAACACTATTAGTTAAAAAAATGAGTTATTATGGAATTAATCCACAATTACATATTTAATTAATAACAATTCATGTATGAACTAATACATTAAACTTGTAGACTATTAATTAGTTCCTAATGTGGTAATCATTAATGAATAGCTTAGATAATCATTAGTTACGCATTAATTCAGTATTATCTGTGCATTAGTTAAGCATGAATTAATGCTTATTAGTGCATACATTTTCAAGTAGTTTTATAGTCAAACACACTCCAGTATGGTCCTTTTTAACACTGTAGAAGAGACCTCTACAAAACCTTTGAGAAATTATTTGATATTTTTTCTTTTCAACTAATTTATTTATGGATATTTACCCCAACAACTGTACTCACCATGTCTGTATTTATTGAGTCACACATGAGCATGGCTGCTGCCACTGGAATTCTGGGAAATACAGAAAACAAAAAGTAGTATATCAGTTAGTAGCAAAAAATAAATAAATAAATAAATAAATAAAAAACCCTTGATCAGTGACGTGTCGTAAGCCATCAGAAAGTCATTCTTCAACCCAAGCACACAGAAGCAGAGAAGCATGATAGAAGCGCTGAAACACGAATCACTTAAAGTACAGAGGAAGTTAAAATGCCCAGGGCAATGAACACTGTTTGTGTGTGGATTGCAACACTATAAGAAAGCTTTTTCCACCTGACCCACTTAACCAGTATGGTGTTGGGGAACAGAGAGGCCACGTCATAGAATTGCTACTAAATGCTACTATTTCATCCTTAGATAATGATTCATTCCCTTATCTTACCACATCTTAGGTGGTTTCTTCAACTTCTTTATTTTGAATGAACTAATTAATAACTTTTATTCCCCTGTGTTACATAAGGTTTGCATTAAAACTGTCTTGGAAGCTTTGTTTTTTATTATGTCTTTAGTATTTTATTGAGATATTAAATGTATCAGACCCAGATTTTTTAGTCTTGAAATATGATCATTCGTCATAAAGATATTCATAATAAACTGTCAAATATAGACTACTGTTCAGAACGTTTGGGGTCAGTGAGATATTGTTTTTGGAAGAAATCTCTTATGCTCAACAAAGCTGCTTTTATATGATCAAAAATACAGTAAAAACAGTCAAATGTGGAAATATTATTACAATTTAAAACCTTTAGTTTTTATTTGAATATATTTTAAAATGTAATTTATGCCTGTGAAGGCAGAGCTAAATTTTCAGCAAACATTACATAGTGTCACATCATGACTGATCTTTCTTCAGACATTTATTTGCTTTTTTTATACATATAAAACTTTTAGGACATTATAAACTGTCACTTTTAATACACCCTTTCACTCTCTCTCTCTCAAAAAAGGAAAAATCGTACTGACCCCAAACATTTGAACGATATAGTGTATATAAATAAATAAATAAATCACATACATAAAATATAAATCAATTAATTGTAAACTACAATGTTTAATATTAATATTACTTGAATTTGTGAAAATATATCAATTTTACAAATGAATCAGATAAAATAAACAATTTTACACAATATTTTACTGTCTCTCAGTTCATCTTTCCACAACAATCTGCAGTTGGTGTATCAAAGCATGGATGAAACGAAATGCGAGGCATGAAAAAAGATAAAGCAACCTCTTAAATGAATTAAGACAAGAAAAAATAGTCAATTTTTATTATTTTATACATGTGAGATGTGATGGAAAAAATGTGTTGCCTGATTTGATGTTGTGAGCAGAAATTAAATGAACTAGTAAGAGTGTGAAAAGAAAGCTTATATTGTAAAAGTCCACAGGCTCAAAAGAGCCCATAGAAGAGAAATATACCTAACAAGTCTACAATGCACAAAGGAAAGAGATGAAAGGTCTACAGCAGCACCAGCACATCAGACATCTTGAGCATGTATTCATGTGAACACAAAAGAGACAAATAAATTTAGCTGAACTTTCTGTGCGTTTTGTCTGAGCGCACAAAGCACACCACAAAAATACAGGTACTAAAGTCTGCAGATGTTATAGCCAAGGTACTGGCAACCATTTCTATTTCCAAAAGTTAAAGTAAGATGACCCGGCCACGGGACTTGAGTGCGTGGACACAGAGAGGTGAATGTAAAGTCTCTTTTTGCAATCATTAACCCAGGGTGGTGCTGGTAAAACACATGCAGATGCACGCACACACGCAGAACACTTCGTACAAGGTCTACTGGGTTTCCAGCAAATTCAGTCTTTCTGAGATTTCAGAAACACATATACCATGTAAACAGGACTAATATTGCAAGAGACAGTAGCGCTCACACACACACACACAGGCTTTGGAAGCACTCCCATTGGCCCCAGGGTCAGGTGTGGGTTACGAAAACAACATGCTATAGAAATACATACACACAAATACAGACACATCCAAACCTCAAATCAACAGTATATAGCTAAAAAGATACCAAAACAAAAGACAAGACACAACAGATTAATTCAACTTAAACGCTATTCAAGACATCAGTTTACATATTTACTAAGAGGATGATTTTGTAACTAGACACAGTAGTGTTTTAACTGAATAGATCATCCAATAATGAAAGTTTTGCCATAATTTATTCTCTCTCATGTTAAGCCTGTATGGCTTTCTTTCTTCCATTATACACACAGTAGAACAATGTACAGACTGTTCTTTTCCATACAATGAACGTGAATGGGGACAAATGCTACCAAGCTGCAAAAACGTCAAAAAAGCATTACAGTCCTCTCATATTTCAATTGTAATTCCACATACTGTATGTGACCCTATAGGACGTCATATATACCCGCAACCCAACACGGGACAAAACTATTTGAAAAATTAAAGTTACATAAGTTTAGCCAAAATAATTGAGGCCTTTTTTTTGCATTATTTGATGAAAAGAACATTAAAAAGAACAGTGTTTATTTTTTGTAATAATGCTGTATAAGTCTTTACTGTCACTTTTGATCGACTTTGATGCATTTCATTCAGTGCAATGACTTTTTTATTTCCTTTTTAAAAAAAAAGGTGTCTTATTGAACCCAAACTTTTTTAGTTTACACCAAAAAATAAAATAAAAAATATCTCGCTAACAGACAGACGTCAAAGATTAATTAACATCTCTTTATTTTATATTGCCAACATTGAAGACACCTGATGTTAACAAACAGAATCACTGAAGGAGAAAACCGTAATTTTAAAACAAACCTAAAACTTAAATTTATGTTGTTGTTTTTTTGGTTGCTGTTGTAAGTTTTACTCATTTTAAATGGTTAACTTTTAAGGAATTACTTTGATTATTACTCAATTCTAATTTGTTCAATTTAATTAATAATATTGCTTGTAATCTGTTGCCACAATTTTTTTGATTAGATAACGCATATTCATTTTACAGTGTACGCTTCTCAAAGCACTGCTTTTCTTTTCAACTTGTCGGCAGAAGCATCAAAGCCTGATAAGCTCTTTTTCTTAGGAAATCTTAGTCAAACAAACTTTTTCCAAATAAAAGAGACTGTTTTTATAATGCCATCATAGTTAAACAGTGACAGTGAGTTTTTCTATATTGATTTTGTTGTGTTTATCTCAAAGGGGTGAAGAAGTTCTTTATAAGACAATGATAAAGTGAGGTAGAGAGAGAGCTGTTCACAACCACAACTGTCCTCCAGGCTTGGCAGAGTTAAAGTGAACCTGTTAAACTGCTAACAACAACAAAACACCACATACACACACACACACCTGCAATTAAACTTAACAGTCTCATAAAATGCAGTGGTTGATACACACTCCAATAGTTATTACGGTGTGCCAACTTGCGTAAGACTTCATAATACATCAAATACCGATAATTATCCTTCTCTACAACCTATTAAAATAAGTTGTTTAAATACTTAACTTTACTATAATTATAGGTTTTGTTAATAACTCGTAAATAAATCTGTTTCTACCCTCTCTCTTAATGCCTCTGCTTTGTCCATATCACATTATCACTTTAACTTCACATTTACAGTCTCTTTAGAGTTTAGTGTGACTAATTCTTTTTCTTGACCTCAGGCGGAGTGAATTAGTAGTTCAGACTGTTCGACTCTCTCTGTCAAATCTACCATGTGTGATACTTTATAAATCACACACGCTCTTCACTCAACATTACAGACCAGTGAAATCCATTAAGGCACACACACACACACACACTCAAAAACCACAAAACGGCAGTGTTACGCTCTAATGCAGTTTCCTAGTGGTGAGGAATGGTCCAGCTTGCTGACATGGAGAAAATGCAAAAACCAAAATTACAAAGTGCAGAATCTAATAGCAAGCCCACGTAAAACCCAAAACCAAACTAAACAGCACTGGTTCAATGCACACACAACCCGTCAATAACCACCGCTCTCAGATAACAGATAGCTTTTTCTGCCAGGTGTCTGAGAAATGCTTGCAGCTAACAGGGAATGTTCTCAGAACTGTTGGACGTTCTGGCAAAGTTATGAATGTTAACAGAACGCTCTTTCAAAGTTGGCAACTAACGCTTGTAAGCTTTACCGCGTAACTGGACTGCTTTTAAATTGTTGCTGAAGGTTGTTTTTTTTCCCCCTGCGGGTTAAAGGTTGCCGCTTCAGTCCCTTGTAAATTGCATAAGGAGTCTCATTAATAAGGAGGGTTTCTGAAAAACTGGAATTTAAAGAACATTCAAAAATGATGTTTAACTTAATGGAAACGTGAGCAAACATTCTTAGAACATTTTTTGTAAGATGAGATCTGAGATTGAAAGAGATCCCAATGTGGAAAAGTTTATAGGGCAGGTTTCTATCTGACTTAAAAATCAAATTAGATTAGAATGAAATTTAGATCGAGGACCAAATTTAGCAAGAAGGCCACAATGTGTCTGTTATTGTTTCCATAGTGAGATTAACACATAGAGGAGCTCTGCTACATGGGGGCCATATTTGGGCCATATTTTCCTTTCTTGCCTTTTCTCAAACTAAAGAGGGAGAGAGAGCATTTTAACAATGGAATGCGGCTCTGAAAATGATCCTCTTTTGTAGTGGATTGTTTGTGTGTCTATCGCGATAACATCAGAGTATTGATCTAAGGAAAGAGTCATGTAAGTGGGTGGAGGGTCCAGTAGTGTGTGTGTGTGTGTGTGTGTGTGTTCACTCCCCCTAGGCAGCCTCCCCTCAAATGGTGAAAACAGGAAAAGAGGCTCCATATGCCAGATGGAATGTCTGACGCAAACCTCAGCCTTGAAACAAAGCTCAGAATACAGCTGACCATGGGACTTGGAGTTTTATTGTATTTGATTTTTACTCCTAAAATGCTATGTGTTAACCATACAGTGCATCTAGTCCAAACTGTGGATGCAGGCTGGCCTATTATGAATAGCTGGACACACACACACACACACAAACTCTAAATATAGCCCAAGCTGATCAAAACCCAAATAAATTACTGCATGGGGCTTGAAGCCATGTTAAATAATATTTTTGACTTGAATGAAAAGTTGGATGGTCCCACATTGGTGAATGTAAATTCAACTAAAATCTTGCCAAATCAATTGAATGCATATTCAAAAATGTATAGGTCCAATAAAACATCTGAATCAAGGTGTCATGACATTTTTAACTGTTTGAATGAACATAAACTGAAGATCTGACAAGCAGGCTATTAATGCAATAAAACAATAAGTGCCAAAAGAGCAATATAACTCACAATAATCAAAACAAACGCATGAGATGCCTACAGTACATGTCAATGAAATGGCCCTTATTACTTCGAAGTTGTTCAAAAAAGCAATTTATAGCCTACAATAAAAAATTGTAAATGTATTGTATTCTTCTTTGCCGGGCAAATTTTCAATTCAATTAATTTTGATTGTGATATTGCTAAAGTAAAACTGTTTAGGTGGTTTAACTGTCCGAGGATTGTAAAAAGAAATGTAGCCTGCTGTAAAATAGAAAGGACCCACTTTCTTGATTGAGTGTCAAAGTCATTAAATGTTTAAAAAATATCACATGTTTTAACGTTTTACGAATATGTTGTCGGGTCAAATGGAGTAGCGCCAGACGTTCTTACTATTAAAGACTTAATGTCAGAATGTTTATAAAACGTTTATTGAATAATAAGCTATAAAGTTGTGAACACACGTATTTTCAAGGGAAACAAATTGTTTGAATAATTTTTTTTACACATTTTAAAGTAGTAATTTAGCCCTAATTATTATTATATTATTATTATTTTGACAAAACATGAAAACAAAGATGACATTTCTGAGAGATTGGCACGAGAAAAAGATTTCTCGTTGCCATCATCTCCTACCTTGATATTGACCCATTTTTCAGATTATTGTAGAAAAGTCCACTTTCTAAAAAAAAAAAAAAAGGACAAAAAGACATGTAGGTCTATTTTACTTAGCCTATACCCTACACACGTGTGTTAACTAGATGCTATTGTATTTTAATTTATTAAATATTAATTTATTGAAAAAATAAGATGGACTGAAATGTTAATTTACAACAGCAGGACCAGCATAAAGATTTGTTTTTACTTATTTGAGGACAGTCGATGCTCGATGGAATTGAATAAAGATAGTAAATAGCCTATACTTACATGTTAGTAAATATTCCTCAAGTTAAAAGTGCGCCGTTATGAAAGACCACAGACGACAGACGACCCGAATCACAATAGCATGAAACACCATCCAAATGACACACTCGCATTAAGGCAGAGGACGAAAACTTTCCCGAGTTTTACGAAACAACTTGTCAAAGCGTATAAAGTGTCCTGAGTGAATTTAGCGTCTATCACATGATTAAGGCCGGGTGGGAGGGCGCTCGCGGGAGGTGAGGGTGGGGCGCGCTCACGGGCGCGCTCTTGGCAGATACGCTTAGCTGGAGACAGGAGGGGCAGAAGAGAAGAGAAGGGTTGGGTGTGTGTGTGCCTGCCTGCCTCTCCCTCTCCGCCCTTTCCTTCCTTCTCTGTTTGTCTCTCTCTATCTCTCTTCTTTCCCTTCCTGACAAGACACGCCTCACAGAGTTTCAAAGATCTAAGAGCATGGATAAAGGTCGCATGGTTCTGGAACAATGAAAAAAAGACAAATGACTTAAATAATTTACTAATTATACACTCTTTATTATTAAATGTTTGATCATGTTAATAAAAGGTGCATAAATGCGGGGGTCATGTTTGAGTTCATTGCTCTCTCTCTCTCTCTCTCTCTCTCTCACACACACACACACACACACACACATTCTGTGTATGTATACTGTAAAATACAAATATGGTGAAATATATTTACACTCATTAAGATTATTGAACCTGTCAGTCAAAGTTATTAAAGTTAATAATATTGGACTGGAGTTATGCCTATTCATTAGCAACAATAGCATACTGCATACCTGATGACGCCAATGCATAAACCCAACCTGTGTCTATTTACCCGTAATAATAAAGCAAACATTTCAGATTACCAGACCTTTGCAAGAATTACTCTCGCCCCAACACTTTCACCTTCTCACCCACCCACATCTCTCTATCTCTTTTTCGCAAACACCTGCAATACCAATACTGCACAACTGTGAATTTATTTTCTTTTGACAGTTAGGGGTGTGGAAGTGGAACTGGCAAAACTCCAAGCACACAAGTTTGTTTGTACGCATAGCAATTTATTGTTGTATAGAGGGTGTGAAATGTGTGTGTGTGTGTGTGTGTGTGTGTGTGCGCGGCCTGGTAGACGTTATGGGGACAAAATGTTCCCATACCATAATATCCAAGTAGTGGTTCTTGTGAGATAATTCTTTGGTCCCAAATGAGGAAAACAGCTTATAAATCATACATGATGTTTTTTGAAAAATTTAAAAATGCAGAAAGTTTTCTGTGATGGGTTATACTGTATTATAAGTTATACTGTAAAGTTTGTACAGTATAAATATCATTTTGTCTACGGAAAGTCCCCATAAAACATGAAAACGCAATAGCAATAGAAACAATGGCAGATGACGTCATTTTACTTTGTAAACACCTTGCCCAAAAGATTTACAGGTCTGACAAGTTGGGCAAAAATCTGTAATAGAAAAGATGCTCTGGAAACTCTGTGCTTTCATCTGGTTTACACTATCAAAAAAAATGTTATAAAGTAAAAGTTAAACAATCTTGAAATAAGTTAGCTGACACTTTACAACTTCTGTGAGCCCAAAATAGAATGCTATTTTTCGACTGTTATTTTAAGCATGATCTCATGAAGAATATGATGTCATCATAGACTCATTTCTTCCAGCCAATGATAATTTATCTCATGATGTCATGGAGGATGGAACATTTGCACTTATCTTATCTCATTCAGGGCCTATAAAACTGTCTTTCTCAATAGCCAATGACAATACAATAAAATGCCTTCAACAAGAAAGATTCCAATGATTTTCAATAATCAGTATTTTTTACGTACTTTTTCTGTAGTGTCAATTTACAGAGCTGTTTTTCTGAGGAATCGGAGGAAGCTCAGATTGTAAATGAAATCCATTAATAAATAAGTGAATATTTTGTTGAAAATTTAAAGGGATAGTTCACCCCAAAATGAAAATTCTGTCAGTAATTACTGCCCCTCATGTTGTTCCAACCCCGTAAGACGTCCGTTCATCTTCGGAACACAAATTAAGATATTTTGATGAAATCTGAGAGCTGGATCACTCCTGCACGCGTGGGCCAGTAAAGCGTTGACCAATAATGAGCCTATGTGGTGACGTACAACACAGAACTGTTGTGCCGTTACACTTCGTGAACTCACTCAGGCCCGCACGGAAGAAAATAAATAGTTGAATAAAGTCGTAATTTTTTTGCCCACAAAAAGTATTCTCGTCGCTTGATAGACTTGTGGTTGAGCCATGTAGTCACTTCACTTGGACTATTTTAAGGCAAGGCAAGGCAAGTTTATTTATATAGCACATTTCATACACAATGGCAATTCAAAGTGCTTTACATAGAAGAAATTAAAATAATCAAAAGAAATCAGAATAATTAAGACAGTTTAGAATAAAAAATAAGAAATAATGAAAAATAAAAATTATGATAAAAATAAAATACAGTAAATTAAAACCATTTTAACAATGTCTTTAATAACTTTTCTGGGGAGGCAAGTTTCAATCCCTTAGAAGCCTATAGAGGAGTGAGCCAGCTTTCAGATTTAATCAAAAATATCTTAATTCCGAAGATGAACGAAAGTCTTGAGGGGTTGGAACAACATGAGGGTGAGTAATTATACAGACAGAATTTGCATTTTTGGGTGAACTTTAACCGATTATTTTGAAACTATTTGAACATATAGACATATCTCAACACACAAGCATCCACATGTACATACATGTTTTGCATTTACAGTATGAAAGCAACCCCCCACATTATTTTCTCTGTAAAACATGCACACAGTGGAATGTTCTGTTGAAACTTACAAAACCCCCAAGGCTGAGATGATGTTGTAAAAAAAAGAAAAGAAAATGAGATGATGATAAAAAATAAAAAGCAAATATTTGAAACGTAACTAAGAAAGTAAACAGTGCAGTTTTTACTTGTATTATTATTATTATTGCTGTACTTTGTTTGATTTTTAACAGTCAGGTCAAATGTATTACAATACATGCACATTGTTTCAAAGAGCTTTATAGAAAGTCCTTGACTGGATTTGTTTAAACATTATAGATTTTTAATTAAAAAGGGAAAAATTAGAAATTGATGAATTGTTGACAATAAAATGAATAGATTCGAAACAACACACTAACAATCAATGGAAAGTTCCACAATGTATATACAGCCAATGAATGTTTACATGGATTCTTATGTAATTTACGAAGACCACAAGTGATTGGAGAAAATACGGATATCAGTTGAATAAACAATTGTCTCACAGAACAATGGGCAAAGATTATTTGGCAGTGATGCTTGGTTAAGGGAAATGTTTTTCTTCTTTTGGTTCTCCGCTGTAAGCAATGCAAGATTCACTTTATGCTTAACAAGTTGCTGTATTCTTCTGCACATTCTTAGTGCTGGCAAAAACTATCACTTACTTTCACAGAGCAAGAAAGTTTGAAGAATAATATCTGAATGCATCATTTTAAATATCATATGACTCAAATAGATGTCAAAAAGTGTTTCCCATGAGGAAAACAGCGTATAAATAATACTAAGTGATGTTTTTTTTTTTGAAAATGCAGAAAGTTTTCTGAGATGGTTATAATACAGTATACAAATCATCATGTCAATAGAAAGTCCCCATAAAACATGAAACTCAAAATGTGTGTGTGGTAAGTCTGCACCTCTAGAATCAACCCCTTTACAGTGACTTGATAGTCACATGGTAACATGGTTTATTAAAATGATGAATTGCAAACATGGTGGCAAAGTGATGCCCCCATGAGAGAAAGCCATTGTTTAGAGTTTGTTTATAAACCCTGGCATGAAAATTAATCTTGCCTCTACAATTTAATTTGCCAGCAGTGAGAATTTATGAGAATCATTAACAAAATGCTTTCAGTTGTCCTCATTTAATTCAGAGATTCAGATCAGTGTGTGAGAATTATATATATATATATATACATTATATTTTCTGACAGTTTCTGTGTTTCAGCAAACACAAGTGCTTTACACTGTCATCCTGGATTAACATGTTATGCAAGTATTCGATAAATTCTGCTGAACTTCTTAACTTTCGATTCACTGGTTCTTCTTGGAATAAAGGGGGTCAGAGGGTCGCTCTTGGCAAAATGCAGGTGAAAAGGTTATGTCTGTCACATGCAAGTACATACGCAAAAGGTTAAACATGCCGTTATTGACAAAGTGAGCATTGGGAATGACAGCTGAAATGTATTATGTTGAGATATTTCACAAAGACAGCTCTAATTTCATGTATATTGCTACACATGGCCAAGACCTGACTAAAACCCATCCCTTAAGCAATACTTACCCTTTAAAAGGTTATTGAAGACAGCTATGATAAAGCCTGGACCACACCCAAAACCGTTTCTGGAGAATAAGAACCTCCTGGGAAGAGAAGTGGAGGACTCAGTCAATCTCATGTCAATTGCCTCTGTAAACATGAGCTCCTGCTTAACATATTTGAGGATTGCCAGACAAAACACATTGAAATTGATTTGTCACTCAACGTACAGAGATGAAAAGGCATGAGTCATTCCATGAAACCAAATCAACCATCAACAGCAAAATATGCTTCGATGGAATTGTTTAGATTAATCACATTTATATAAAAAAAAGATTCATTTTAATTAGAACAGGATGATTTATCTCTCTAACCGACTCCTTATTCATCTCAAAATAATAGTGAACTTTCACTTTAAATTCTATAATCAATAAGTGACATCAATTGCAACGCATTCTCACCCCAAGGCGTCACCTTTGACCATGCTTCCATATTTGACGTTTTAGGCGCCCTTTAGCGTCACTTACATGACGCGATCCTACGGCGTCATCTAACTGACGCTAAAGGAAAGCGTCAGTTAGAGGACGCGGTTAGGTTTAGGTGTGGGGTGGGGGTAGGGTACACGCGATCCTAGGGCGTCATCTAACTGACGCTAAAGGGCGCCTAAAGCGTCAGATATTGAAGCATGTCCAAATGTTAGGTGTTAGGTGTTAGGTGACGCCTTGGGAGTGAGAATGGGCTGACATCAAGTTCTACCACCATTTATCACCTTTTTTATTGCAAATTTTAACAACATAAGATAAAAAGAAAGACAAACTTTCAAACAATAAACGCGTTATAGTTCAATTGTCAACTAGAAAAAAAAATATATGAAGAAGC